GGGGGGGGGGGGGGGGGGGGGGGGGGGGGGGGGGGGGGGGGGGGGGCGCCCCCCTTTTGTGGTTTATCAAATACAGTTTTTCAGCATAACATGTTCAATATGGAATCCTTGTATTTTCTAGATTAAAGCGTTCAGAAAGCACTAGATTTCATCTCAGAGAAATTCAATCTCAAAAACTGTTTTCACGGAGGAGCATGCACCCGAACCTCCCTAGAAAAGTGCGCCGCTCGCAGTTCTGATGGGCGCTATCGCGCCCATAATGCCATTGTATACTATATCTCTAGGCACCCTCTATCGCAAAATCCTCCGTCCGCCCCTGTTATAATTCCCTGCTCTGACTGACTAGAATGTTTTTTTTTTTTGAGAAGTGCAGAACCCACATATTTCTGGCGGCAGGGGTATATATTTAGCAGAGTGCTGATTAAGGCCGCAGAATGACTCTGAAGTTTATTGATAAGGGTTACGAAATCTAAGTGAATCGATTTAGCAGGACAAACTGAACTGGAAGTTGATTCAATAGGCCATTTGCTAGTTTCAACAACTCTTTCTTTCAAAACGAGGCTATGTCGAAAGCTATCTTGTGAAAATGAGTTTTAGTCGCAGGAGAATAAAAAAGCATTTTTTATCAATGGTTTCGCACTTTGCCTCGTTTTGAAACAGAGGCTTAAGGTAACTCGGAATTGGCCTATCAGTTTCCGTTTGGCTATATATCTCTGGAACTGATTTCGGCCCGATTAGCTGTCCCTGGGTTTCCGAGGATGAGTTTAAGGAAGTTTTCTTGTTTCAGCCTTCTCCAACCACAGTAAGAAGGAGTTTTCTGTAGTCACCACTACATTCGTCTTCAATCATTTTATACAGCGTCAAGTGGTACTTCTGCAGGAAAACCTCTTTGATTTCCACAAGGTCAATCTGAACATAAAACAAAACAGTACAACGTTGGTAAAAAAAAAAAAAAGCGCAGGGAAATCAAAACTTTGTAAACGACGAGTGCCCCTCAGCTAAATCATCATAGACTCGTTTGAGATCATTCCAATTTTTATAACTTTATAAGTGAATACTTAATTATTCAACGTTTAATTGGCAAATTACGAGAAGCGACTATAGAGGAAGAAAATCTCGGACCTGAAGCTGGATGGATCAGTTTGAGCCAAACGAAAACGAAGTTTTTGAGTAGAAGATTCGCTTTTGAGGTGGATGAACCGCTTTCTTTGTTGTTTGGTTGAGGCTCTGTTGTTTCAATAATTATAATCGGGCGTTCCATTCATATAAAAACTCAGTCGCACACAACAACCGAATGTTTCCACATGTTTCCGTTAGAGGTGTCTCAAATGCTTTTCTCTATGATTTGGAAACCTGTTTGGCTAATTTGGAGCTTCCCTTAAAACTATTTATCCGTTTAGATGTCTCAGGGGAACTTTGGTCGTCTCCAAAGTTTAAGCTGGCTTTTTCGCCTCATCCGAAACTCATGTTACCTACCCTAATGGGTCCATTTGACCGTTCAAGGACATGGATCGGAGTGGCAGTATTTTCATTAGAAAATTCTAGGGGACGTTTCGCCTCTATACCAAAATTTTCAGAAGACCATCTTTGACAATAATCGCAATATTTCGGTAATAAAATGTGAAAAATACAACCCGCCTCCGAAAATCTTAGGAATTTGGAAGAAATACTCCGAATATCCTTGAAGAATGGAACAGTTATACAAACATTTTTAGTGGTTCTCGATCCTTGAAAAAATTTCTAGGCCAAAAGTCGTTGGGTGCCCCTGTTAATCAGGACAGTCACAACAAATGAACGCAGCACATTAGTACTATTATTACTGACTCAAACTTTAAAAACTTTCTGCAAGGGGTTTCTGAGTCACATCCCAGGAAACGTAAGCCGAACAACATCTGACTGTACCATTAAAATTAATACAAAAAGACTGAACTGAAATCGTGAAAACTCACTTCAGAACGGGAAACAACAATTCGAATCAAGGTGGCGTCATCGGTTCCAGCTCCCTTTGTGGAATTCCACAATCGATCAGCAAAGTATTCTGCAGGTTTCCTTGAACATTGTACTGCAAAAAATTTCAACATTTTATATGAGGCCAAAATCCAGATTTGTACGATAAGTTAGAGATGATTTGTGGAAAGGGCGGAAAAAACGGCAAAGAACAGTAGGAAGCCACTTGCAAGAATGACTTACCAATACACTTTAAACCAGCCGCGAGATTTCCAGACATTTCACGGTCAATACTGTTCAAAATATCACGCTGCGTCATCTGCAAATCACAAAAAAAAAGTTTATTAGGTTTAGTGGCGGGGATGGCACCGTTTATCAACAAAAATGAAGGACTTAACGGTGGTCGCTATCAAAATCAAAATAAGACACAACTGCTTAATTGTACGCGGTACGTGACTGAATTGCTACGGAAAGAGATTGAGCACCATATAGGCAAAACAGCAAGCTAGAATGATCACGTTCCTTGGCGGTCAAAAGACTCACAAGTCTTAATGAAGATAATGTCTTGAAAGGCCCTGTTCAAGTTCTTGTAATATTTACAATAAGTTCGCAGACTCCTCGCACTGAAACGAATTTAACCGAAACCGAGCCGTATCAAGAGAACGCCGCCTTTGATATTCTTATTTTATTTAGCCTGCCAGTAAGCTCTCGGCGGGCGGAGCTGAGGAAAAACTGTATGGAGCTCCCTTCACTTTATTGATTCACACTGTCACGACATTGGACTTTGGGGCGTGTGCGGCCTCGCGCCTGGTTACTAGAATATGTATATGCATAGCTTACCTGGACATATTCATCAAAAGTAGCTCTCAGTTGCGGAAAGCTCCTGGTGACGAGAATAACATTGAAGCGAGACTCATCTGTACCCCAAGTCGCCTCTCCTGCCTGTGAAACACCATAAAAAACGACGTAATCAGATCGCCCGTTTTAAGAAAAGAGAAACCGAAACAATAGCAACTGTCACTCAACAGCAAGGCAACATGTCAAGTCTACAAAGGAGAGGAATGGAGTGGAGACTCAGGGGTAAGGACTCCTATTTAGTTGTTTAAGTAATCTGTTCTGTCGTAGTCCACTACTTACTCGTTCCAAGACGTTTGCCTGTGCATTATACATAAAATACAAGTGGTAATCTTGGTCGACTGACATTTTGGCGAAGTTAATTGTGAATCTATCACAAGTTGGCTTCAGCTCGAAGTTTTAGCAATTTCAGCCATTGGAAGGGGACGTATCGAAAAACTGGAGTGTTCTTCTTCCAGCCGTTAGTTGCTTTTGCCAAAGATCAATATTGAATTTCCAGGGGAGACCCATCATTTCGAAGAAAACTGAGACAAACAATGGAAGACGCCCGTCTATTTTTAACTTTACCTCTAACAAGTCCTTTGCTTCCTTCTTAGCCTTACCAACGTCAACAGTGGTAGACTCGTCTCTGTTGCCCTACATTGATTTACAACAATTATTTCGCATAAACATTATTTTCATTATTTACTTTTTGATGGACTGATTCTAAAACGCCCGGCGCCGATCGAAAATAAAATGCTGAAATTTTGGCTTAATACTCACACTAGAGCTGCTCCAAAACATCGAAGCCCTAGTAATAACCTAACCTTGGAGGATTTCACACCTACTAAGGGAGCGCCCTCATCTATTACTTTTCTTTGCTCTTGAATAGTAGCCTGGGATCTGCTTGCACAGTGAGGGAAAGGCGAAAAAAATAGGCGAGCGAAGCGAGCCGGCCGTTTTAGGCCATTTCCCCCTTAGGCAGAACCTGGTCCCAGGCTATCATAGCAGGTGCCGCACAACTGGTCGCTTACGTGGGAGCTTTGACCGTTTAGCAGACGAGATCTTAGCTAAACTTCTGGGAATAGAAGTCACGACGACTTCATGCTGCATGGTGTTAACCACTAGTGTAGTAAAACGCACTCAGTCAGTTTCTTATGCATGGCAAACCATACCAAACTATGGTACAGCGACCGAAATATTTGGTAAGATACTTGCACCGCCTGTTTCCACTTACCATTCTCTATCAGTATAAGACGATTTGCCAGTTCAGCACTCTCATAGCCTAGTCTTTTGTTAAGAAACTCTTTCCCAGTATATCACAAAATAGCGCGATACCCCTCTCCATCTACAATGCCCTCTTCCCCCGGCCCAAGGCTTATCATGGCGCAAGGAAACAGGGCTACAAATATCACACCTTTAGAACTAAAAATTTATGTACGTTTGTTATTACCTGACACATAGAGACTAAAAGCTTCTTGAAATGACCACTGGTTTCACTCACGCAGTCCTGTTCAAGGTCGCGCTCGTAATCTAAGCAGAAAATTCAAAAGTCAGAAACACTTGCAATGACAATTAACCTGGATTCATGAGCGTAAGTTAGAGAAAAGCAGAAAGACAGAATTAAAACAACAGGTTTAAATTAACCAACAAATGTACTCGGACAGGTAAAAAAAAAGTAGTCTACAAGACGTGAGTTTTCCAAATGCTGTAAGAATCTCGAAGAAATAACAATCAACGGAATATTTAAGCCACTATTATTTTCCGTTTACCATTTACTTTAATTCAACATTTAACAGTTTCATGATATGTCGCCGAGAACCAAAGCAATCTGGTACCTCTTTCATAAGAAGCCAGGTGCAGTATCTTTCAAACAACTCACTCTTCGATTGAATGAGTTATGAAGAAATAAAAACGAAAAAGAAAGAGTTACACTCACATTCTTTGTAAGCCTTCTTAATATCAGCTATCTCCTGTTAAAACGAAACAAATAAAAATGAACAAAACAGACATTACCGCAGCTGCAACACTAATATTGTCACCAAAACCAGTTCACGTTCGAAAAACAAAAACTACTATCAAGAGTCTTTTTCGTCCGATTACTGCTTTTCGAATCTTTGCTTTGTTTTGGGTAAAGTTTATGAGCTGGGTGGAGAATATGAATAATTATAACCCCTTAACCACGAGAAAACGCCCTGTACATTGCAAGTAGAGCACTTTAACTTTAAAGCCATCAATTTTACCGTATTATCACTCACAAGAACATACTATAAAAGTATAGTTCCCTTATAATCATTATGATTATGTTTAGCAGTTTATAATTGAATGAAATTTAGTAATTTTCTGGAAACTGATAAGAGAGAGGGGGGCTTATTAACTTTTTTCTTCTGAAAAGGGGTGGGGGGGCTACATTCCCGTAGTTAGAGTACAGATGGGCACATGTTACTTTATCATCACAAACCTGATTTGTACGAGTACATAGGATGTCAATCAACACTTCTTCATCTGTTCCAGCTCCCTAAAAAGAGGAAGGCAAAGACTGGGAATCAATAATGTTTTGATTAGATTCAATAACAACTGAGTACAGAACGATATTCTTAGCCGTCATAGCTGTCAGTGCTGGAATGCTTTTCGGCGACTCGCTTTGAAAGCCGGGAGGTTTTATCCCGCTAGGGAATATTTGCTGTAATAAATAGCCAAACCCAAAATGCCATTTCGAGGTCGCGCATGAGGATACCGTGGGACCAATTTGACCCACAGTGCAATTCGAGAAACGTCGACCCCAGTCTTACGCGCATATGGCCTATGAATATGTGACCAGGCTCGTCACCAGGGTCTTCTCGTTTACCAATATGGCTGCGGCAGGAGAGAAGACCCTGGGGACGAGTTTGATATGTGATTGCAATGATCAACATAGGGAGAAGAAAAGTAGTTCCTTACCACCATTGCTCGTCTCAAACACTTGGCATCATAGAGTGCAGCTGGTTCAAGTATCGCCAACAAACAATCTTCAAAGTTACCGCTGAGTTCTGACTTTAGAGCATCCATTAGATCCTAACAAAGTAACGGAACATTAACCCTCGACCGCTGCAAGACATAGAATTTAACTAAGGGGACAAAGAAATCACTTTTGAAAAAGAGTATAAGACGTGTGTTGTGGAACCTTTCCTTTTGCGCGATGGCAAACATATTCTAGGGCCTTCTTTATGTAGGGCTTAGATGGATAAGATTTAATACCGACCTCCCAAAAATTGGCAACCAAAGCAAAGTTGAGTATAGCAAAAGTTTCTTCTGACTAAAATTAACCAAATTTCGACTCTCGATCGAGTAAGCTTACAAATATATATATTATGTATGCTTGCGCAAGCTCGCCGTTGAAAGTAGTCGTGTTCCCAGAGCTGCACATGTACAATTGTATCATGGATCGCTGTTTAAGTTAAGTTTTATCTCTGAAAGTATTAATTACTTAACAAATTAAGCTTACGCTAAACTCACTAACCTCGCCAAACATCGTCTTGTATGTTTTTCTGATTTCCACTCTTTGAGAATTGGTTCGTTTCAAAATAATGTCCATAAGAGTCTGTTCATCAGTCCCTGAAATATCACGAGAATGGTAAAAATAAACATTTTCAATACTCTACGGCTATAAAATCGGCCATTCATAGTGCATTCATAGCGAAGAATGCCATCTCGATTACTACGCCGGTCTTAAAATGGACCTAAAAAGGGGAATGGCAGAGGAACCACAAGACGTCTTTCACTCCTGTGGTATGAAGCTTAACTTGGATTAAATTAACCTTACCGAACAGCTATAGGGAAAACCTTCAGTTTTACTTAAACTGAATCAAATGGTACTATTCTCCACAAGGAGAGTCTGGCCTTAAAGGACATACGCTCGCTCAATTGGTCAAGAGTCCCACTGCCTGATAAAGAAGCCTTTAAGACTACAACTAATATAATTTCACAATTCTTATTGTTTACTAAATGTAAAGTTTACCTGCTCCTTTCATGGCCTTCTTTAGCGACTCACAGTCTGCCTCGGCATTAAAATTGGAGGCTGGGAGCACAGTAGGGTTACCACGTTTCTACAAAGGAAACCCAAAATCAGAGAACGTATTGTAGCACACGGCATTTCAAGAGGCAGGTTACACAAAAACCTATATTCCCTATTAAATATAAGCTCCTGAAACCAAATAAATCCTTATTTTCCTTCTTGTCCCGTAAAAAAAGCACGATTCACAAGTTTCGTTTAAATGATTCTCCCTGGGATTTCGTCCTCAGACTTTAACTTGATTTGATAATCTCATTGTTTAGGACAATCACTTACACATTGCCTATACATCTGTCAAGCTAAGTCATATCGATAAATTAGCACTGGGTCAAAGGAAAAAGGAAGGGAATATTTTGTTAAGGTCGGCGGTGCAAATCAGTTTTTGTCAGGTATATTTGCCTTCAAGTCGACTTGATTTTACTTGAACCGTGAAACAGATACTAACAAACAGTGCAAAATAGCGAGAGGTAAACAAAAGAAGACAATAGAATTAGTGCATGATAGTGCATAGTATTCTACTACCTATTTCACGGTCCCCCCCCCCCACACACAAAAAAGGGCTTTGTTTTATGAAAATCTAGGTCACTAGGATACGTGACCAAGAACGTTGGGATATTAAGCTCTCAGTCTCAATGGTTTCCCCAAATCTGCCGAATTTAATGGTGGACAAAGGCACCAACTTAAAGAACTACTAGATGGTGAGTGCAATTACCACAAAGCTAACTTAAACACAAGGAAAGAAGTCTTCGACGGGTAAAAAATTTCACGATTCTTATTCCTACAAAAGACTTAAGGGGTGGTTTACACGATACGACTGATTTGTTGGTGCGTTGTGCCAGCCCAACAGATACACGCGCTCCGATCTCTTCGGTGATCTCTTTACCTAAATCTCAATGCCAAATAAACTTTAAATCGGCCTAAACTAAGTGTAACGATTTGTAAAATCTGTTACAGCGCAACAGATTTATGACAATCTACTATGTTTTGTTATGGATTTGTTCATTAAAGGCGAGTTTGTTTTAACTTAAACCGGAAAAAAGTGATAAACAAACATGCAAAAAAGGCGAGGGAAAAAAAAAAAAAACAAAAAAAATTGGGCCTGATAATGGCAAGTTTTCCTATACCTTTTTCAAGGGCCCCCCCCCCCCCCACACAAAAAAGGGCTTTGTTTTATGAAAATCTAGGTCACTAGGATACGTGACAAAGAACGTTGGGATATTAAGCTCTCAGTCTCAATGGTTTCCCCAAATCTGCCGAATTTAATGGTGGACAAAAGGCACCAACTTAAAGAACTACTAGATGGTGAGTGGAATTACCACAAAGCTAACCTAAACACAAGGAAACAAGTCTTCGACGGGTAAAAAATTTCGCGATTCTTATTCCTACAAAAGACTTAAGGGGTGGTTTACACGATACGACTGATTTGTTGGTGCGTTGTGCCAGCCCAACAGATACACGCGCTCCGATCTCTTTACCTAAATCTCAATGCCAAATAAACTTTAAATCGGCCTAAACTAAGTGTAACGATTTGTAAAATCTGTTACAGCGCAACAGATTTATGACAATCGGGCTGTTTGAGGGGTTTGTCATGTTTTTTCTTTGACTCGGTACCACATTTTTGTAAACCAGGATTCATCTTGCGTCAAGGGTCAGACCTAACTTAACAACGAGAAAACGGGCAACATCTTTCTTTGATCTTGACAACCCTTGGGCAGGAGTGAAGCTTTGGCAATCACGCTATGCTTTAAAGGCCAGAAAGTGTAACTATTGTTCATGTGGCCAAGTAATCGTTATCGGTGAGTCCGTTACACATTTTCGTGAAAGTGAATGTTAAAGTCTTGAGGATATTTAAGAAACAGAAATACTGGGACAAAAAGTATCAACTAAAAGACAAACAAATATTCATTGCGATTGTTGGTGGGTTAGTTTATTAGTCATCAAGTCTGTTAGCCAATATCAATTCTACAATGTACATAGTTAAAATAGGTTAGTTACATTTAGAGTGCAAATGGTATTCGTGCATTATGTTACAACAAATCACCTGCACCAAAATATCTCACCACAAACATGTAACGTACAGTCGACCCTCGTTAACACGTACGCCATAAAACGACAGAGCTTAACTCATGTACATTAACAGAGCATAAAAGTTGTATAAGTAATGATCATGTAAATTATTGGTTTTTGCAGATGAGAGAGAACTGTCCGTGTAAAGGTTCGACTGTATCAGTTACACAAAGTGTGAAATAACTACTAATGACGGTTAACAGGCTACAATGAGCTAAGTTTCCGCAACGTACGAAAATATGCCTCTTTTGTCAGTCAAACCGCATGGCCCAGTCTTTTCCAAAATAATTTGTTCCGAAAGGTAAAAAGTCTTGAGCTACGATTATATGTGCTCGACAGTTAGGCCGAGACGAAAAAAGTGAATGGGCAATTCAAGAAAGAATGACTTTTCGTCTTATATTAATCCTTCTACTTGCCATAACTATCAACAATTTAAGCGCACTGCCTTCTGATTCTATTAAACCTAGTTACTTTCGCCAATCTCGAATCGGTAAGTAAGTTACAAATTTACTTTTCGATACTTTGAAAAACTAAAAACTACAATTCTTTTGTGAAGGCCACAAAATATAAAAACTAATAAGATAGCCAGGCTTTCTCACTTGCATTGGCCTTCCTGTTTCGCATCTAGTTACGTTAGTACAGTGTATTAACTTTCAAGCTAATTTTTTCCCACTTGTTAGTCTCAGTAGATTATAAACAGAATAAATCAAGGTACATGTTATCACGTGTACAGTGAATGGTGGGAATTGTTGACAACAGACAGTATTGTGAGTAACTCATCATTACACATCTAACAGGCGACTAATTCGCACTCTGAGTGTTATTAAATGTTAAGTCTTTCTTTCGTTTGCCACTAACGTCAGACCAGTTAGTTAGTGAGTTTTCACACTTATTAACGCTTTACTAATAGCACAATTAATAACACACCTGTGTTCTGAAATTTGGAAAAGACCAAAATCTCTTTCTTCAAATAAATTAACTACAACAATTTACATTTACCGTTTTCAGGAAAGAGGGGCTTGTAATAAACCAAAGTGTATTTACACTATATTTCTTCATTTCTTGGAAATCTTTGTGTGGGTGTACAATCAATTCATAAAGTAACACGGGAAATGGATATTTGCTTACGGTTCACGTCTCAATTTTATGGGAGTTAACGTTTGAAGATTGTTTTGGAATTGCCTCGTTTGAATAAAAAAAAAAAAGTTTTATCAGGGAAGAGTGGGTTTCACGCCACAAAACCCTGCGTTAACTTCTTTTAGTTGTATCCCTGCACCCACCCCCACCCCCCGATCAGTATATACACTGGTTAACTTCTCTTAGCTCACCGCAGGTTGCAAAAAGGCAATCTCTGAAGGGGGAGGGGGGTCAGTATTACCCTCCCCTCCTGAGAGTGCATTTGTCTCAGCCTCCTGTGCTTTGATCTTTCGTCTCCTGCTTCGTCGTGCTCTCAGCTTTTCTTGTAATCCTTGCTCCACACGAGCCTTGTTCATTTCCTGTGCCTTCTCAAATTCAGCTAACTCCTCTTCATGCTGTTTTTTAAGCTGGTCAATATTGCCAAACAAATCTTCTTGCGTGGGAGCTGGAGTGTTTTCTGCGGCCGTGGTTTGTGCTTCTCCCTGGGTTGCCTCACCGGTATCAGTAGCTGACCCTTGTTCTTCAACAGGCGGGGCATCAGGTACTCCCTCTTTATCCTCTGGTTCTGGAGCCTGGTCATCCCCTTCTTCTTTAGCAACCTCTCCAGGTTTTGCAATGTCTTCCTCTACGGTAGAAGAAGCCTCTTCTGTTTCTGTCAATTCATCTCTCTTAACTTCCATCTGAAAAACAAATGACATTTACAAAAGAATTGATTAGTAAACATTTGGACCCTACTATTAGAAAACACTTCGGCCCGCAAATAACTTTTCTTGCCACCTCTTTAGTAGTGGGACAAATCAGATGTCAGACGTACATTATATGACGACTTTTGGTTTCTCTTATACTGCCTTGCAAATCACCAGCTATAAACCGATTATCATGTAACTTTGGTTTGTGCTGTTATCATGTCCGGCTGCAAGTAGTTTTTTGCTGGAAATGGGAAAATTTTAATCCCACATTGTCTAATAACTGATCGCTATAATTTACAGCTCTGAAGGCAAGCAATATAAATATCTAAAAAATTCCGAAATGCAAACTAAAATTACATGTACTTTGAAAACACAATGGTCTTTTTTGTCTGTGCGAGCAGTTACATTTGATTCTTGTTTTAATCGCTCTTGCACAATAAGTCCTTTTTGCTCTCTCCTCGTGGTGGCCATTGCAACAATTTTCAACAGTATTTCCTTTTCAATAACACACCCATTTAAAAAATAATGCATTACAAAAAGAAATTCCATGTAAAACCCAGATACACACGTAAAGGTATAACCAATAACCAACATCATAGCAGGCTTTACAAAATATACCTCCAGCTCAATTCCAAGTGTCTCCTTGACTTTGATTTTGATCAAGCTCATTCTCTCTTCTTTCAGCTCATAGTACTTCTCATGGAACTCTTTCTTCACATCAGCTAAGTCCTTTGCAATGGTTTCGTCCCTAACACGACCCACCCATTGTTGCAGAGAAGAGCATTTGGAGAACATTGAAGCAAACAAATTATATGACTTCTGGTATCTATCTGGTATGTTCACATCATTAAAGATTGAATTGGTNACATTTGATTCTTGTTTTAATCGCTCTTACACAATAAGTCCTTTTTGCTCTCTCCTCGTGGTGGCCATTGCAACAATTTTCAACAGTATTTCCTTTTCAATAACACACCCATTTAAAAAATAATGCATTACAAAAAGAAATTCTATGTAAAACCCAGATACACACGTAAAGGTATAAACAATAACCAACATCATAGCAGGCTTTACAAAATATACCTCCAGCTCAATTCCAAGTGTCTCCTTGACTTTGATTTTGATCAAGCTCATTCTCTCTTCTTTCAGCTCATAGTACTTCTCATGGAACTCTTTCTTCACATCAGCTAAGTCCTTTGCAATGGTTTCGTCCCTAACACGACCCACCCATTGTTGCAGAGAAGAGCATTTGGAGAACATTGAAGCAAACAAATTATATGACTTCTGGTATCTATCTGGTATGTTCACATCATTAAAGATTGAATTGGTGAGTGCTTGTAGAGTCTATAACAAAAAAAAAAGAATAAACTGCAAATTGACAACAGATGTCAACAGCAAAATGCAATGAGGCAATATTTCAATAGCTTTCCAAGGAGCATAAGCTAAAGTAGCTGGTAGTTTAAAATCATTCTGGAATTCTTGCATTCAAGTGATATCAAGGCAAAGTAAGGGTTGATACTCACTGGAACTTCAGTGGGTGCTAATATAACACTTCCTTTTTGCTTGAAGGTAAGTATAAGTTACCTGGGGCCGGTATTTAATTAAGGCAGCTCAGGTTCTGTTAGGTGACTTAATTAGCAGCACACAGCCTGTGACCGGATCCATCATTCATTCATCTTTTTTTTATAGAACAAATCTTCAACTGGATCTGAATAAATCAGTTTGATTTCTGTTGAAACTAAACCTGTATGATCCATGCAATGACTGGTTAAATTTCATTTTCGTCTTCAACAACGATTTCTTATGATGCGCAGACGCGTTTCTCATCTGTAGTGAAACATCTTGGCAGATGATATTAAGGTGGTAGTGTCTGCACAGACTAAAAAACAGACTTTGCAAATGATAATTTAATTTAATTTAATTAGCGTGCAATTACACAGTTTTTTTCAGTGAAACAGATATGATGTAGTTCTGCCGGTTTTGAACAGGAATGTTCAAATTTGAAAAGAAAAAAGTCATACTGTAACACATTCAAAATTTTGATTGTAACAACTAACCTGTAGATCCTCCTGGGTAAAATAGGGCACATTCACTGGTCTCATGTTTCCATGGGCACTTGTTATGTTTTGTGCTGCCGCAATCAAGTGATTTCTGGTTTCCGCAACCATCTGATATTTTACCTGTGAAAGTAAAATAAGTCATGATTCAGTTTCATTTGAGACTCAAATTTCAATTTTGCATAATGAGCTTCTGAGAAACAAAACACATGAAGGTCTGAGCAGCTAGAGAGGAATCCCCCAAAAGACGATTAATTGTATCTACATTGAGTGGAACCTTACAAAGTTGTCAAAAGTTTGTGAAAACATGTGAAAAAAAAAATGATGTCAAGACTTGTAAACATATTATGGATAGGCCAGTCGCAAGTCAGGTTCACAACAAAGGAGTATTGCCTGGCATATTAGCAGCCTTAAATCAAAGCTAATTACATTAATTTACAGGTCAATTTAAGTATTAGGACAGGATTACACCCTGATAAAGACACTGTGAAAAGAAGATTTTCAGTGATAAAGTACATGTAGTTCCAAACCTTTTTCTGTCAATACCCTAGTATAAGAGAAAAATGACACAAATTTGTGATGAAAACTTACCACCAAAATTGTTACACGATGTGAAGCAATTTGGGCCCAGCGCCTGGTGCTCCAACTAAGCTGCTTCACAGCATGATCCAGATACACATGAGCAGCACTCCAACGTACATGTGCCGCACTTATTCTCTCCTTTCTTTGACCTANTAACAACTAACCTGTAGATCCTCCTGGGTAAAATAGGGCACATTCACTGGTCTCATGTTTCCATGGGCACTTGTTATGTTTTGTGCTGCCGCAATCAAGTGATTTCTGGTTTCCGCAACCATCTGATATTTTACCTGTGAAAGTAAAATAAGTCATGATTCAGTTTCATTTGAGACTCAAATTTCAATTTTGCATAATGAGCTTCTGAGAAACAAAACACATGAAGGTCTGAGCAGCTAGAGAGGAATCCCCCAAAAGACGATTAATTGTATCTACATTGAGTGGAACCTTACAAAGTTGTCAAAAGTTTGTGAAAACATGTGAAAAAAAAAATGATGTCAAGACTTGTAAACATATTATGGATAGGCCAGTCGCAAGTCAGGTTCACAACAAAGGAGTATTGCCTGGCATATTAGCAGCCTTAAATCAAAGCTAATTACATTAATTTACAGGTCAATTTAAGTATTAGGACAGGATTACACCCTGATAAAGACACTGTGAAAAGAAGATTTTCAGTGATAAAGTACATGTAGTTCCAAACCTTTTTCTGTCAATACCCTAGTATAAGAGAAAAATGACACAAATTTGTGATGAAAACTTACCACCAAAATTGTTACACGATGTGAAGCAATTTGGGCCCAGCGCCTGGTGCTCCAACTAAGCTGCTTCACAGCATGATCCAGATACACATGAGCAGCACTCCAACGTACATGTGCCGCACTTATTCTCTCCTTTCTTTGACCTAACAAATCAAGTTCCATCTCCAACTTCCACTCCTTGTCACTACCATAAGAATCATTAAATATTCGACCCAGTAACACTTCTTGTTTGCCTCGCAAGGAATTAAGTTCATCCATATCTTTTTTTGCAGTAATAACTTCATCATACAGCTTCTTATACTGGATTTTTAAGTTTTGAAATTCTTGCTCGGCAATTTCTTGTTTGTTGAGTGCATCTACATATTCTTGTTTCTCCTTTTCATATTCTGCGTTGATCTGGGCTTGGTTGACAAACAGTGACCGCACATTCCATGCTGAATTCAGCTCTTCAATATCTTTATATTCTTTAGCACTAAAACAAAACAGTATCTTGTAATTATTATATTATCATTAACCATTATTACCATAGCTAATCAAGTCAGACATGAAAATGAGCACTTTGAATATACCAGCCCTTAGTTACAACCAGGGTTTATTAACATCCTTATTTACAAAAAAAACACATAATCTGTGTTCTTGCAAATCACTGTACACATACATGCATGTATAGCAACTAGCGCTAATGTATATGGTGAACTCATCAGACTCAGGGATGTACATGACTGTCCTTATCACAGCCAGCTTTGTTCTTTTCTTTCAAGACCCTAGTTGTGGCTGACTGGCCATCAGCTGGGTTCAAACAGATTTTTAAAAAACCTCATTTAGCACAAATTTTCATAACATAATAATAGTAAATTATGATACCCACCCCCCCTCCCAACCCCAGTGAGTGCCATAGGTTGCTTTTTTAAAGTCTGGGGAAGAACTGTAAAAAGCTGGTGCTTAGCCCGTGAACAAGCTCTCCATTTGGGGGAATTCGCAAGAGGTCACGCAAGAACAGCACGTAAAAGGAGATGCAAGTGCAATAGGTGGGGAAAGAAAGGGAGCTCCTTTCCTCCGCCCCTTGTGGCTCACTCGCGTGGTCTCTCACAACTTGCTTCGCTCACCATAAATGGAGAGCTTGCTAGCAGGCTAGTTGGTGCTATTTAAGGCATACAGGTGAGCCTGTCATACAGTTATGAGTTGGGATGAAGAATACCAAGTTGAGTTAGATAAGGGTAGTAAGTTTCTCGTGAACAACACGTACAGTCAAACCCTGTTTTACAGACACCTTCTTCAACTTTACAGACACCCAATTAATACTGACACTTTCTATGGCCCCCTCAGTGTCCATATTTATGGAAAAGAAAGCGTTACCTAGGGGTCATTTCAATAAGTCTCATGAAAGTAGTACAGAGTCCTAACAAGCTAGTGTGAATTGAAATTGAATGAAACAGCCATGAATAGTTAACTCTGATCTTATAAACATGTGTTGGTAAAGTATGCGGTTAACTTCTGCACAAGTTCTCACTAGAATATTCACAGTTTCCACAGAAATTGGGTGGGAGGAGGGTGACACTTTCACAATATGTGGAATTTATGGGGGGTCATTTCTGGATGACGTGGGGGTCGGTTTAAAAATCTTCCGAACTTTCTCAAAATGGCCGCCGCCCCCCCACCCCTCACAGGTAATAAACTACCAGCCCCCAAGTACAATTTCCAGGGGAAATTTTTCCGTTAATAGTAAAAATATTCTGATGATACTTACGTCTGAGCTTTCAGTTTTTCCACGTTCTCATGAGAAGCAGTGAGGTTCTTATGTAACTCTAACAGCCTGCTGTGTTTAATTTGATAATTATTCTCTGAATCCTTTTCTTCCAAGATCTTCACTTGATTCTCTACTTCGACAAATTCTTTTAGGACGTCTTCGCTGAAGTTTGGTTTTTCTTGCTCTTGAGATTGCCCTTCACCTTGGGTTGTAGTCTCGTCTGCACTTTCTTCGACTTTCGTTGTTTCAGTTGTTTCTACAACCGTTGTTGTTGTCTGTACGACTGTTGTATTCACTGATGTCTCTTCGACACGGGTCACTGTTACCGACTCAGCATTTTCCTCCACCTTTGTCGTGTTTGCGGTTGTTGTATTTTCAGTAGTTGTCGTAACCTCCTCCTTCTTTGTTTCTTCTACAGCTGTCTCTGTATTTTTGATTGATTTCACTGATTCTACACTTCCCTTCTTCTCCGGTTTCTCTGTGACATCAGCAGCTACGACAGCTACCGGTTCGTTTGAAGTCGGCGGTGCGTCCCCCCCGGGAGCAGTTTCTGGACGATTTTTTTTCGACTTAGCACTACTTGATCGACTAGAACTTGAGCTACTGGAACTGGAGCTGCTACTTGACTTTGCAGAGTCTTTCCTCTTCTTTTTTTCCTCTTTCACTTCCTCTGCTTTGGGATGGCTTTGTTGTTCTATTCGTGGCGGGGGTGATTCCCTCTTCACGTCGCCATTGCGAACTGGCGCGTTTTGCTGCGGAGCGACCGCTTCTTGCGATGACCCGCAGCCCATATCAAACACACTAAAACACAAAAATACCGATTAGATATGGATAAAATTGTCGTTTTCTAGGAACAAAACTTTGAAATTTTATTCTAAAGTGTCAATGAAAACGCAAATCGCAAAGTGAAGCAAATTTAATAGCGCCAAGAACCCCGATCATATTACAAGACACCGGTCGGTAGACCTTCAGCTGTTTTGAATTGCATATCAAAAACTGCTCATATCTACCCTCCTTCTTCTACGAGAACTTTTCTGCTTAATCTCGAAGTAGAGAAATTTTCGTTTCACTCAACGAATGGTGCTTTAGCTAACAAATACAGAGAAGGTTAATAAACAAAATGATGGCCAGCCGTGGGTATATAGATTTGCTCAGCAAACATGCACGATCAGCATCTTACATCAGCATCTTAGAGAAAGAATCAATCTTTAGTAACAAAAACTTAAAAATTCACATAGGTGGAAATCTACTGTCGAAATTTACCTGGAATATTACAAGAAGGACATCAATAAAAGTAAACCATATGCTTTACAAAGCCGGACTGTAAAATTTGCACAGATACGAAGTGTGTACATAAAAGATGGCTAGAAATCAGCAAGGATCGTTGCCATAGCAACAAGTCAACATTTTTGGCCCCAGCCAGTCACAGAGTTCGATGAACAAAAGATTTATTTCTTTGTGTAAGATAATGTTCTGTAAAACGCAATTTCACGGCATTTGATTCGATTTCTTTCAAAACATCATATCAAAAATTCGATTTCTATTTTACTGAACCTTTTCCCTTCCAACTTCACGTTTCCTTTGTCATATTTTTTCACATTTATTTCATGATCTGGTCCCAGGTATTTGCCTTTTTACCATGGTGACCCGGCAAAACATATTTAACCAGCTATTGTTTTGAATATTAGTATAGTAATGTGTGAAGCTTTTTATAACAAAAGGTGCACAAGGGCAAACTTTACTTATGGCTTAAGATGTCTTATATTCTTGGTGATCATGACGATAGTTCTAGAATAAAAATCTGTCATAAAATGATCGTAAAGTGTGACTTGAGGCAATGTATAACCGGCTTTAGGTTAATATGTGCGAAGAGTGTATCGGTGGTATTATAGACCCACCGATAAAGCTACAGTTTAAATCATTTTGTTATAAACAAATCCCCTTAGAACATGAACAGAAATTTGCTAGAATTCTAGCCCCCGGGGTCTAGCCATGTGCCTGTGGACGAAGAAGACACGTATTTCCGATAACCACTTCCCGAAAGCGACCGGAAATGCGTCTTTGTACACGGGCTAGCGGGCTGCCGGACATCGCAACTTTTCAGAAAAGTCCGTTACCAGCTAAAAATGTACATATCTCAGCCCCCGGAACTCGAACTAAAGGCAGATAACTGCTGGGCATGCTCTCCCGTTAATACGTTTTCTTGCTGACTCCCGATAACTCAAACCGTCGTTAACTCAAACCTCGCGCTAACTCGAACCATAATCGATTTCTCAATTCCCCCGGATTTCTTTCATACATTTAAACCCCAATTACACGCGCTCAAAAAATCGGCACGGCACGCCAAATTTTTTGGCACCGTGCCTCGTTTACCCGTGCCGAGACTACCGCCAGGAGGTAGTCTCGGCACACCTAAAATTTTGAGTACTGGTGCCACCACAGGTAGCCCAAGGATTTCAATAAAAAAAAAAAAACCTTACTTAAAATGTGTGTTACGTCTCTCCTGTGAGGTCCACGGGCCGATTTATGGCCGTTTTATGGGTTTTTATGTAAACGGTTTTCTCTCTATATCAGTATATAAGGGTAAAACCTTTATACAGAGAGAAAACCGCTTACATAAAAACCCATAAAACAGCCATAAATCGGCCTGTGGACCACACAAGAAAGACGTAACACACATTTTAAGTACGGTAAGCTGTTTTTTTTTGAAATCCTTTCAGTTTCATAGGTTATAGAAACGATAGGTTTTCTTCCCATACAAATCCTTATATTTTGAATGTTACGCAACAATAGAGTACTAAAGTGATGACGTCATAAAAATGAAATTTCTGAAATTATGGGATTTGTCAGGATATTCTGAAAGAACAATGTCCAAGAGGCCTACTTTCCAAAAATGAGCATTTCGGGGCAAATTGTCTCTGAGATCATAGCCGTTATACTCAGAAAACTCCATACAAACCCTTCTAATTTTTTGGGGGGTCGACCCAAAAAATATTTAGAAGGGTTTGTATCGAGTTTTGTAAGCATAACTGGGCTACGATCTCAGAGACAATTTGCCCCCAAAATGCTCATTTTTGGCAAGAAGGCCTCTTGGACATTGTTCTTTCAAAATGTCCTGACAAATCCCATAATTTCAGAAATTTCATTTTTATGAAGTCACACTTTAGTACTCTATGCCTATGCTCGCCGATGCTCATATTTCGAGCTTGGGCTACCTGTGGTGCAACATTACATTTAGGACCGAGACGTTTACACGGGTGGCCATGTAAAGGATTCGCGACGCTCCGGAATGTCCCAAAGTTTCGCTCACGAAGTAGCATGAGCCGTCAGATCAAACGCTGATCTAATGTGTTTTGTCACGTGAATATATCGTGCATTGGTGGGTTTCTTGCAGGAAATGGAAGAAAAGGGACAAAAATAATCGTTTGGTTCAACTGAAAATGATTGAAACGACAAAATGGTTTAAAATGGAGCAAGTGGTGAAAATTTCTTGGTTTGCTGCTATCTTGACTTCAGGTTTTTTTTTTATTTAAACGGTGGCCACATAGCAAACAAAGTCAAAGAATCATTATTTTCCTGTACAATGAATTTCATACGCACGTACCTAGCGACAGACGGCAAAATATCGTGAAATAATGAAATCATTATCTAATATTTCAGGAGATATGTCAGTTTTCCCGTAGTGGCTGCTGGATGTGATTGGCGAGAGGCGTTTGCCGCAGGATCCCCTTAGCTTTCACAGCGGTCAAACGAGTGAAATTTGCAAAAGTTAAGCGAAATACTTCAAAGTTAAGGTTGCTACTTTCACTATCGAAAGTTTAGGGTATTACCAACATCCTGTTAGTTTACTAAACTTTTTAAAAGTTTATTAAACAAGTTCTAAGTGATTGAAAATCGATGCTGACGTTATTATCGGCGCCATTTTCAAACATGATTATCTTTTAGCGAGAAGCGTTTTCAGCGAAAAAAGCTCAAAATTTTGAGAAAAAAGGAAAGATAGTTATGTTGACTAACTGATTTATACATCTTTGCCATTTTTCTCTAACTGGTAAATGAAATCCCGGCAATAAAAAACAAAAATAACGATTTAGACGTTTGACCGCGGTGGTCCCTTAGCTTGGCCTCGTTCTAGCTCATTCTCTCTTGTTTCTAGTCAACAACATTTACTCATGCTAAATTGCTTTTTTGTTTTGGTTTTGTGGTGTTGCTACTGTTGTTGTTTTATGATCGACCGTAGGCAGGATCTCCTTGATTCTCCTACAATGACGTCAACAATCGGGATGAACAAAAGATGACGTAGCGTTTTAATGCTTGAGTTGTTTAGTGACGTCGATTAGTTTCCAGCTCGCCGCGGTTAAACGTGCAGTTGTGCAACATGGCGGATTTGTGGCGAAGCATGAATTTTCTCTAGACTCGCTTTTAAGTAACGTCCAGAAGAATTAATGGATGCAATTTCTCTAGATTCATGTTTTATGCGAAGCAAATGGTTAAAGTAAAAGAGAAAGATTTGATTCTTCATGGAGACGTCGAACAACATGGTCAGATAACACAGGGTGAATGGTACTTAAGAAGTCATAGGAGAGAAGTTTACGATGACTCGTTAAATCAGGACGAAAACATACGGAAAGAATTTAAAGAAGTAATCAGCTCCCTGAGTGCTGGAGCAGTCGCTGGAGCTGTTGCAAAGACGACAATCGCGCCTTTGGATCGAACGAAGATCATCTTTCAAAGTAAGTTCGACAGATGACTCACTTGTTCGAGCATGAGAACCATTCAAACACACTAAAACACAAAAATACCGATTAGATATGGATAAAATTGTCGTTTTCTAGGAACAAAACTTTGAAATTTTATTCTAAAGTGTCAATGAAAACGCAAATCGCAAAGTGAAGCAAATTTAATAGCGCCAAGAACCCCGATCATATTACAAGACACCGGTCGGTAGACCTTCAGCTGTTTTGAATTGCATATCAAAAACTGCTCAGATCTACCCTCCTTCTTCTACGAGAACTTTTCTGCTTAATCTCGAAGTAGAGAAATTTTCGTTTCACTCAACGAATGGTGCTTTAGCTAACAAATACAGAGAAGGTTAATAAACAAAATGATGGCCAGCCGTGGGTATATAGATTTGCTCAGCAAACATGCACGATCAGCATCTTACATCAGCATCTTAGAGAAAGAATCAATCTTTAGTAACAAAAACTTAAAAATTCACATAGGTGGAAATCTACTGTCGAAATTTACCTGGAATATTACAAGAAGGACATCAATAAAAGTAAACCATATGCTTTACAAAGCCGGACTGTAAAATTTGCACAGATATGAAGTGTGTACATAAAAGATGGCTAGAAATCAGCAAAGATCGTTGCCATAGCAACAAGTCAACATTTTTGGCCCCAGCCAGTCACAGAGTTCGATGAACAAAAGATTTATTTCTTTGTGTAAGATAATGTTCTGTAAAACGCAATTTCACGGCATTTGATTCGATTTCTTTCAAAACATCATATCAAAAATTCGATTTCTATTTTACTGAACCTTTTCCCTTCCAACTTCACGTTTCCTTTGTCATATTTTTTCACATTTATTTCATGATCTGGTCCCAGGTATTTGCCTTTTTACCATGGTGACCCGGCAAAACATATTTAACCAGCTATTGTTTTGAATATTAGTATAGTAATGTGTGAAGCTTTTTATAACAAAAGGTGCATAAGGGCAAACTTTACTTATGGCTTAAGATGTCTTATATTCTTGGTGATCATGACGATAGTTCTAGAATAAAAATCTGTCATAAAATGATCGTAAAGTGTGACTTGAGGCAATGTATAACCGGCTTTAGGTTAATATGTGCGAAGAGTGTATCGGTGGTATTATAGACCCACCGATAAAGCTACAGTTTAAATCATTTTGTTATAAACAAATCCCCTTAGAACATGAACAGAAATTTGCTAGAATTCTAGCCCCCGGGGTCTAGCCATGTGCCTGTGGACGAAGAAGACACGTATTTCCGATAACCACTTCCCGAAAGCGACCGGAAATGCGTCTTTGTACACGGGCTAGCGGGCTGCCGGACATCGCAACTTTTCAGAAAAGTCCGTTACCAGCTAAAAATGTACATATCTCAGCCCCCGGAACTCGAACTAAAGGCAGATAACTGCTGGGCATGCTCTCCCGTTAATACGTTTTCTTGCTGACTCCCGATAACTCAAACCGTCGTTAACTCAAACCTCGCGCTAACTCGAACCATAATCGATTTCTCAATTCCCCCGGATTTCTTTCATACATTTAAACCCCAATTACACGCGCTCAAAAAATCGGCACGGCACGCCAAATTTTTTGGCACCGTGCCTCGTTTACCCGTGCCGAGACTACCGCCAGGAGGTAGTCTCGGCACACCTAAAATTTTGAGTACTGGTGCCACCACAGGTAGCCCAAGGATTTCAATAAAAAAAAAAAAACCTTACTTAAAATGTGTGTTACGTCTCTCCTGTGAGGTCCACGGGCCGATTTATGGCCGTTTTATGGGTTTTTATGTAAACGGTTTTCTCTCTATATCAGTATATAAGGGTAAAACCTTTATACAGAGAGAAAACCGCTTACATAAAAACCCATAAAACAGCCATAAATCGGCCTGTGGACCACACAAGAAAGACGTAACACACATTTTAAGTACGGTAAGCTGTTTTTTTTTGAAATCCTTTCAGTTTCATAGGTTATAGAAACGATAGGTTTTCTTCCCATACAAATCCTTATATTTTGAATGTTACGCAACAATAGAGTACTAAAGTGATGACGTCATAAAAATGAAATTTCTGAAATTATGGGATTTGTCAGGATATTCTGAAAGAACAATGTCCAAGAGGCCTACTTTCCAAAAATGAGCATTTCGGGGCAAATTGTCTCTGAGATCATAGCCGTTATACTCAGAAAACTCCATACAAACCCTTCTAATTTTTTGGGGGGTCGACCCAAAAAATATTTAGAAGGGTTTGTATCGAGTTTTGTAAGCATAACTGGGCTACGATCTCAGAGACAATTTGCCCCCAAATGCTCATTTTTGGCAAGAAGGCCTCTTGGACATTGTTCTTTCAAAATGTCCTGACAAATCCCATAATTTCAGAAATTTCATTTTTATGAAGTCACACTTTAGTACTCTATGCCTATGCTCGCCGATGCTCATATTTCGAGCTTGGGCTACCTGTGGTGCAACATTACATTTAGGACCGAGACGTTTACACGGGTGGCCATGTAAAGGATTCGCGACGCTCCGGAATGTCCCAAAGTTTCGCTCACGAAGTAGCATGAGCCGTCAGATCAAACGCTGATCTAATGTGTTTTGTCACGTGAATATATCGTGCATTGGTGGGTTTCTTGCAGGAAATGGAAGAAAAGGGACAAAAATAATCGTTTGGTTCAACTGAAAATGATTGAAACGACAAAATGGTTTAAAATGGAGCAAGTGGTGAAAATTTCTTGGTTTGCTGCTATCTTGACTTCAGGTTTTTTTTTTATTTAAACGGTGGCCACATAGCAAACAAAGTCAAAGAATCATTATTTTCCTGTACAATGAATTTCATACGCACGTACCTAGCGACAGACGGCAAAATATCGTGAAATAATGAAATCATTATCTAATATTTCAGGAGATATGTCAGTTTTCCCGTAGTGGCTGCTGGATGTGATTGGCGAGAGGCGTTTGCCGCAGGATCCCCTTAGCTTTCACAGCGGTCAAACGAGTGAAATTTGCAAAAGTTAAGCGAAATACTTCAAAGTTAAGGTTGCTACTTTCACTATCGAAAGTTTAGGGTATTACCAACATCCTGTTAGTTTACTAAACTTTTTAAAAGTTTATTAAACAAGTTCTAAGTGATTGAAAATCGATGCTGACGTTATTATCGGCGCCATTTTCAAACATGATTATCTTTTAGCGAGAAGCGTTTTCAGCGAAAAAAGCTCAAAATTTTGAGAAAAAAGGAAAGATAGTTATGTTGACTAACTGATTTATACATCTTTGCCATTTTTCTCTAACTGGTAAATGAAATCCCGGCAATAAAAAACAAAAATAACGATTTAGACGTTTGACCGCGGTGGTCCCTTAGCTTGGCCTCGTTCTAGCTCATTCTCTCTTGTTTCTAGTCAACAACATTTACTCATGCTAAATTGCTTTTTTGTTTTGGTTTTGTGGTGTTGCTACTGTTGTTGTTTTATGATCGACCGTAGGCAGGATCTCCTTGATTCTCCTACAATGACGTCAACAATCGGGATGAACAAAAGATGACGTAGCGTTTTAATGCTTGAGTTGTTTAGTGACGTCGATTAGTTTCCAGCTCGCCGCGGTTAAACGTGCAGTTGTGCAACATGGCGGATTTGTGGCGAAGCATGAATTTTCTCTAGACTCGCTTTTAAGTAACGTCCAGAAGAATTAATGGATGCAATTTCTCTAGATTCATGTTTTATGCGAAGCAAATGGTTAAAGTAAAAGAGAAAGATTTGATTCTTCATGGAGACGTCGAACAACATGGTCAGATAACACAGGGTGAATGGTACTTAAGAAGTCATAGGAGAGAAGTTTACGATGACTCGTTAAATCAGGACGAAAACATACGGAAAGAATTTAAAGAAGTAATCAGCTCCCTGAGTGCTGGAGCAGTCGCTGGAGCTGTTGCAAAGACGACAATCGCGCCTTTGGATCGAACGAAGATCATCTTTCAAAGTAAGTTCGACAGATGACTCACTTGTTCGAGCATGAGAACCAATCAGCGATTATTGACTTATTAAAACTATAAAGCTTTGGTTATTACTATTATGGCTTTTCCCTGCATTATTTACATTGAAGCCCATACATTTTTTCATTTTTTTTCGGTTGTATATACTTTCAATTCATGTGAAAAATTTGAAAGGTGTATAACAAATATATATTGATTAGCACGTCTTGGGTTTAGAGTTGTTGTACACGTGCATTTTGGGACCAGTGTGTATGCTTGTTACGCCTGGACCAAAACGGATAGGAGTTGACGAAAATTTAAAAAAAATCTTGAGCATATGAAAGTCAGTGAGGCTAAATAACGACGTTTGAAGTTGTTTTTTCCAAACATCCTAATGAAATCTCAAATGAAGAATCAGTCTCTAAGCTAGAGTGTGATCTTGATTGTGTGTCGGAGATTGATTTTAAACTCTCACCGGCTTTTGTTGTTATTTGGGTCAAACTTAAAGGGTTTGCTAGCGCCTTGTGGAAGCTACAGCCATTTTTGAAAATTTCTGTCATTACTCACAGAAAAAATAGTAATATTTGTGGAGTAATAAATCATTATATTTTGTCTTATTTCTTTTTCAACTCTTATTATTGTTCAGTACAATGTCAAATGACCCCTAGCTTTCTCCTCATCTTCATGTCAAATCCTCTGATGCCTGCAATTATTGTGACAGTTATTTTCTTCTTTTCTAGCCTCCAACAGACAGTTCTCAGTAAAGGTAAGCCAGTAAGAAATATAAAAGCAACACAAATGCAGAGATGCCAACAACCACCCCCTCCCCACTTCGACCCTGACCCCCCAATAAGCACAGTTAGATCCAGTCTCTAATTTATCACATGGGAATGGCTTAGGACATTACATGAAGTCTTACATGAGGCACAGACCATCCAAATTCCCTTTTATTATGGCAATGGAAATAATCTTTGTCAGTGATGAAGTACGTGTACATGCAAAAATGCCCCAGTAACAAACTATGAATAAAAGAATTTGAATTTTGGCAGAAAATGGGATAAATTCCAAATTAAAGCACAGAAAAGCTAATAAATCAATTTTTTGTGGGAGATTGGAGACCGGACGATTAATGTTGTTTCCAGGAGACTCCCACATAATCTGGGAGAGTTGGCATATATGCAAATGTAAGAGTGAATTTTACATCATTAAGTTCTGAGGGCATCAGATCTTCTTGACAAAATAATAGACAGCTACTTTTGCCCACCATAGTATGGTAATGTGATTTGTGTAACTTCTTCTTCAAAAGTTGATGGACATTGTACTTGATAGCTTCACAGAAGTTAATCTTTCTAGAAATAAAAATTAAATCTTTATCATAATAAATAACAAATATAATATTGGGGAAGGAATGCAACCAGTAACAATGTGCATTCTGCTAAAACTTAATAATAATACAACTCTAGGAAAGTGATCATTGTTGTTGTAATAAAGTTCGTATGTAACAGGCACTCCGATTGGTTAGAAAGCATGCTTTATGAGAGTATAAAAATGGAGCTACATGTAAAGCTGTCACATCATCTGCCATTATATGTAGTTCATTTTGAAATTACAAGAAAAGTGATGTGTGGGGAATTTAATGAATTCTTCATGAGGGGGACATTGGGGAGTACCCAATACCACAAAACCGTAAGAAAAACTGGCAAACACTAAATTACTGTGTCAAAAATCGACGAAATACTGATATCGCATTTGTGATCGGTCACACTTATAACAGTTAACCCATTCGCCCCTGAGCTGCCTGTAACCGCCCATGCGGATCCATGTCCCTTCTATCGCTTATCAGTTTTAATGGTCAAAGACAATTTTGTCCACTAACGTGTGCAGAGTGAAGGGATCTTCCAAACCACACCAGAATGAGCACAATTCAGTCAAGGACACTGGAGAAAAAGGCAAAAAACCATATAGCGTTGACCCAAAAATTACCATGAAAATGTTGTTCCACTACCCACCTATCTTTCCTTTCAGCTAATCCTAAGATCCTAAAAGCTTTCCTAAAAACTTTTCCCAACAAAATGAAGCCTACCAAATGCCCAGCAAAAGAAAACAAAAATGAGGCAAGAAAAGCAAAAAAAGAGGGGAGGAGAGAAAGTGAAAAGTAAAATTGAAGACCTGCTGAAATTTTGCTTTCTGCGCATACCTGAACTTCGCAAGCTAGTATTTTGCTTCTGGGTCAGAAGGCTGCGAAGTGTATGACAGGGTTGTCAGTAAGAGCCAGGGGCCAGGGATTTTCCCTGGCTACTAAGAGAATGGCCCGTGGCTTCTTTTATTGGAAAATAGAAGAAAAAAAACCAAAAGAAATCCCTAGCCGTTTGATTCCGTGCCTGCTTGTTGTATTCACCTGGCAACTTGAAATCTTAGTAAACAACCCTGGTACGACGTGCAAATCGCTTTGTGTTATGTTTTAGCTCTTTATAGCATGACAGTGACTAGGAAACCACTCGACTAGGCTGCTTCAAAACACATTTTTCGGCAAAATCTGTAGGGGCGAATGGGTTAAAGTTTTATCTATCTTGTGTGTTTGTTTTCCCCAAGCATGTACCAGAAATTAACCTCACCCATAATTCAAGAAAACATGAGAAGACTTTGAATTTGTTGGTAAACACAGATTGAAAAGCCTGGTCACTGGATGCAACAGCAGTTTCAATGTAGATTAACTTTCAGAAATTATGTAATCATTTACCATTATGTCTGACACCTTAAAAATATTAACTCTTATTGACCTGTATAGCTTACTGTGTTTTATGTTGCTTATTGTATTGACCTGTGTTAGACAGCACAGTGCAAATAAACAGTAGTGCAATACCATCAAGGATCTTCTTTTACCGAATATTGTCAGCCAAAAGGTTGAAAAACTGCATACTGCAAGGCTAGATGATACCGGAGTACCTCACATTAAATTGAAAATTACCAAAATACCAGTTGAAAAAAGCTCAATACCATAAAGCCACATGTCCCCCTACTTTATCATGAAATAAATAAAGAAGCCTTGACTGTGCTCTGCTCTGTTGTAAAGCCCTTAGGAAGCAGCTAGAGCACTCAAGAAGTAGGGACAAACACTTGACTACTTCTCATGTTTCCACAACATTTCTTTCATGCTCTAGCCACCCCCTGAAGGCTTTACAACAAAACAGAGCACAGTCAAGGCTTCTTCATTTGTGAAATGTAATTCATATTTTTGTTGTTGTTGTTGTTGTTTAACTGCCATACTCTTAAGTTCTAATGCTTATTTCACATCTGCTTTCTTATTAAGGGAGCTGTTAGTGTCTTAAGACAAACTCTTGTAGAGAATGGATTTCTTGGCCTCTTCCGAGGAAACAGTGCAACAATGGCACGTATCATTCCATATGCTTCATTACAGTTCACTGCACATGAGCAGTACAAAATGCTTTTGAGAACAGACAGTAAGAAAGGGTGGGTAGATTTGTTATATTTTGTATACTACATACTTGTACATGTACCTTAATCAGGGATACTCAGCCAAAGAAAAGAAAGGAAAGAAAGTCTAGTTGAAATGGGGGGAGGGTTGGGGGAGATCTATGCACTTCCTGATATTTTGCAACAGAAGAATATGGTAGTGTTTGTCTTTTGGCCAGATGAAAACCAGAAAAAAAAAACAGAAAACCAGAAAACCACTCAATGAGATTGAGTGTAGCTTCAACCCACATCTTTTCACAAAATCTCTTCTGCAGCACTAAATTTGTTGCATTTTTAGAAATCCCTTTTCGTTTGGCACACGTTGGGATACTTTTCATCTTGTTCAAATTTTACGATCATTTAAATTTATGTGACTAGTGGTACCAAGGTCTCAGTCAAAAGGATGTCCAGGCCTCACCCAGATTATCTGATGCAGATATCTATTGTAGCATAGGAGCCAGGCTACTATCTTGTTAACATGACATTGTTATGAATGGCTTGAGGCACTCAAAATTTTGACTGATTGCCTGATGCGCTTTTTGTATTTCAGGCCATTACCTCCTGTGCGCCGATTTTTAGCAGGATCTATGGCTGGGATAACTGCTGCATTGTTTACATATCCTCTTGATTTGATCCGTGCCAGATTAGCCATCACACAGAAAAACAGGTAATATTTTATGCAAGGTGTAACAAAATCAGGATCCACCTGCCCCAGTGGTTTTGGCTTGTGGACAAGTTAGGTTATCAATCTTACTTTTCTGTGAACAAGGTAATCTTTAGAAAGTAATTTTGACTACAGGGTTCTTATAGTTTACAGTTAGGTATTTGCGAGAGTAAAACTGATCGCTGTTCATAAAAGCAACTTACATTATCTACCAGTTAGAAATGGACTTTTACGGTGAAGGGAAACAAGATACTCTTTCACTTAACGTGGACTCATCTGAATTTTCCACAATGGTTTTCACCTTTAGGGAAAGACGAATCATAATAATAATAATCTTAAATCAACACGAGATCAAGGTAAAAAAAGGTAATGGGGCAAATAAGCCAAGAAGGCCCACACCTTTTTGTGGAATAAAGTTTCCAGTTGCACCTCCCCGTCTCATGGGATGTTAGTTCATTGTAGAGTACCCAGCGGGTGTTTAAGCAGTGCCTTTTTAGGTGTATACCGTTGGGTGGAATGTTACAAAGGAAAGTGCAATCATAAACATGAGATCAAGGTAAAAGAAAAAGGTAAAAGCCAAGGAAGCCCTCATGGCCAGAGCTTAACTTGGTTCCTCTAGCATGAAGTACCTTGAAGTCTTGTTAACTCCCACCTTCCCCCGGGTGGAATGTTACTTCCTTGTGGAATTACTCAAGGGGTGTGTCACCCATAACTATTATACTCTTGGGTGGAAAGTGACAAAATGAAGAAGAGTTTTTTGTTAAATAAGGCCAACAATGCAATAGCAAGCTTTGATTTCAAAACTACAAATGTAAAGTTTGAGTTGTAAATCGCTTTGCTGCCATGACTCCACCATATTTGACAGCCTTCTATTAATTCAGAACATGTCTTTGTGTTTAGGTACAAAGGACTTATGAATATTATAACCAAAATCTACATAGAAGAAGGAATCATAGCATACTACAAAGGACTACTTCCCACTGTCTTAGGAATTATGCCCTATGCAGGAATAAGCTTCTTCACATACGAAACACTAAAGAAGCTCTATTATGACCACTTTCAAGACTCTCGGCAATTAAATCCTTTACACAGACTTTCCTTTGGTGCCTGTGCAGGACTTTTTGGCCAGTGCGCCACATACCCATTGGACATAATTCGCCGGCGAATGCAGACAAATGGAATTTTGGGACCTCCGAGGCCGGAGTATCGTAAAATGTGGACCACAGCAAAGTATGTGTATACCACTGAAGGATTAAGGAAGGGCCTTTACAAGGGTCTTAGTATGAATTGGGTAAAAGGACCTATTGCTGTTGGAGTTAGTTTTACTACTTTCGATTTGTTGCATGGCTTCTTCCAGAGACGTTTTATCCAAACCACTGATGAGTGAGAAGAAGCGGAATGCTTTACATGGAATATATCATTGTACCATGGATCTCGAATATAATGATGATTATTTAACATCTGAAAACAATGTTTGAACGGAAGTCATCTTGCCTCGTAGTTGGCGTCACAGTAAAAAACAAGAACAATTTTGGAACAAGTCATTTGCTTCAAGAGATCTTATGAAGCCTTGCTACCTTGCTCCTCCTCAAAGAACGATGCAATTGTGACAATTAAAATCAATTAGGCAACATTGTTTATTTGCAAAGTTAATTTGTTTTCCTCGAAAATGTTGACTATTTTGCATCTTGTCTTTCTTGATGTTCAATTAATTCCTCTTTTCAATCAATTTTTGCCAAGCTACAAATATGTACGTGTAGTAAACGTTTTATAAACATTTTTTTAAGCAAAACAGTGCAGCATTTAACAAGACAACATTAAGGAGTCAAGTTAAGTTTGTTGTCTGCCATTTTGTCAGAGGGCAGTAATAACTCCAATCACCAATGACAATCACACAGATCCCTTTGAGAAGTTGAGAAATCAGACTGCTATCCCCGTAGTGATTTGCACTGTCTGTGATTTCAGCCTGGGTCATTCGACTTGCCAGGGACTCTTCTGATAGCCTGTTTTACGCGTTCGGATAGTAGAGCGCGGAAGAAAAAAAAGGGGGGGAGTTTAGAGGGGGAAAGGGGGAGGGAACCGCTATCGGCCGCGCTTGGCGAGAAGAACGGCTGAGCCACTCCAAATTGAAATATGCGTTCCTGATTGATTCACACCCCGAACTTTTCATTCACTTAATTCAATGTATTAGGTTCGGCTCATGAATAGTTCGGCGTCTGAACCGGACCTAAGTACACGTAGAGTCGAACATTGTAAGATTCAAGTATTTCCTTTGGCTTAACGCTCGCGGGTGAAATATTTAGTGGATATCTTAAGAGGTCGAAAAGCCACACGTATTTGAAACTTAGACTGATGAATTTGATATCTTTTTCAATAAATAAGCCAACGTATTTAATACCTTTATTAAATATAAGATTCGGATTTCAATTCCAGTTGAAGTGTGCGATTATCTTTATCCTCTATTTAAACTGGGCTTCCCTTCTTTAAATTGTTCTCTGGAAGAATAATCGAGAAGATGGGAAGAATATGTTTCTTGATGAAAACCGAGACAGGATTGTATCTCCATTTTCAATTTTTTTTATTCATAAAAAGCAAGAACGGATATCTTCGTTTCCATTCAAATCTTAGAATATCAGAAGAAAAAAATGTTGCACCCGAAAGAAGATGTTAGAGGAAGATCCGAAGTTTACTTTTCAATCATGGGAATTCAAACAGCATAGAAATTGTAACAACTGTTTATATAAACTTCAGACTTTACCTAACGAGCTAATTCGTTACTGTTTGCTCCAACAACAGATGTCTTATTATAGTTGGTAAAAAGGTCCGTCAAGCTATATACGCTTTCATTCAACTTTAAGATTTCATTTGACGAAGTTTGTCATTAGAGGACTTAACCATTAGAGTAGACAATTTACATTGTAAATAGGTTCTTATTCACAGATCTTGTTCACAAGAGAAAAAACAACCGTTTGTTGACCAGCTCCAAGGATCATAATGGGAGCCATATTCATGGCTCTTACCTGCTTGCAACATGTTAAACATGCAACAATTATTGTTAGTTTTGCAAGAACCAAAGATAAACTGAATTAGATTACACGTCATAAGCAGAAGATTTTTCCTCAGCTTGTTTTTCTGTTTCATTTTTGGCTGAATCATGCATACCCACTAACGAAAACTCAATTTTGATTCGTCTTTGAAAATGGTGCACGCGTGCTTACAAGTCTATATAAGATATGGTAAAGCCACTTTAAGTCAGTGAATTCTATTTAAAACATAAATTAACAAATCGACAAAAAAGAGAAAAAGTAAATAAATAAATTAAAGTAGAATGTACTAAATGGGCAAATACAGACTCAGATGGCCTTTGCCTATTACAAGGCATGAGTGAAAAATAAACACAACTTTGGACCTTTTAATTTTGATTTGTTTCAGTCGTTATAATTTTATTTTAAAGCGTCTATTGTCGAACTCAAGGCCAAAAGGGAGGCGTGTGTTCGGACTCTCCCTCAGTGGTCGTTGAATAAGGTGCCGGGGCCGTATTCGAAGCTGCTAACTTAACCCCACTTCCAAAGTATATTTTTATCAATATTGTTCATCTTAAAACTACAAAAGAAACCGAATCCTGTTTTTTGTCAACATCTTAATGATTGCCTATTATTTTTGGTTGGTCTTGAAACCAGGTGCTTTTATTTAACGCTCAGATTGTTGTTATTTACTATGGAAGAAATGATGTGGTCTATTGTTATTTTATTCCGACTAAGTAAATACTAGTTGGTCTTCAATTTGCCAAGTAATTATTCCTTTGTTTTGGCCAATTAAGAACTGTTCAACTTTGCGAAGGCTAAATTTTAGGCTCACGGGTATAAATGTAGCCTCTGAAGAAAGAACTTTTTGCATAGACCCAGCTGCAGCTCTTCGTCAAGATGATATTCTTGGTGTTGTTTCTATTGGGAAGTACTGCGAGTACAAATGGTAAGATTTTCTTGAAACTTTTTCTCTTTAAAACATCTTTTAAATCCAAGGTTGCTGTATTCAAATGTTGTATAAAGGCCTTTTTTTCTGACTCTAGTCTATAAAGTTTGCTAAACTTGTTTTAGAACTAAAATCTTTTTATCTTGTGGCGGGATGTAGGATTTTCGATCCTTTTGAACATCTTTTATCTGTTTTATCTCCTTCCAGTTTCCGTGTATTTCGCCTGTAACACGCCAGTTTTGTCTCTGCTAAACCAGGGAAAACTCAAATCCAAATGGTCGACAAAAAGGCGTGTGACTCTTTAAATAATCCTTGAGAGTAGTAACAAAAATTAAACCACAAGCTTACGTTGATTCCAGCACACAAAAAATGAAGGCATTTCTTGAAAAATAGGTATCAGATCTTCATAACAGCTTCTTCTAAATAACTCGCACATATATGAAGGTTATTTTCCTGCCACGTTTTTTTTTTATCAAAAAAGAAAACGATTGTTAGTAAGGAAAACTACAGTAACTGTGAACTAGGACATTTCCTATAGATATGATGATGTCGCTAGTAAAAAATTATAAATAAACAAATTAGAAAGTAAAAACTAAACTTAAAAAAGGAAGGAGAAAAACATTTTAAAAAATTACCACATAGGCACTGCTATTCAATTTGATAAAAGCATTTTCAGCTAGGGGGCGTCAGAAGCCTTGGAGGGCAAATTTTTTACTACCGTGCTAGCATTAGGCTAGCTGATATGCATCCTTAGCTCTTTAGAGGGTATAAAGGGTTAAACACGGCCCTAGCCAGACTTACCAGTGGAGTCGAGACGAGTCGAATCAAGATCTACCGCCGTTGAATGCGTACAGGGCCCCTAGGAGGAAAGACTATTTTCAGCATTTTTCGTAACGTATTTCTTTTTCAGAAAAACCAGCTGTACTCTGCTTTCCCATTGAAACGTCCAAAACGATGCAGTGCTGCCTCTAAAATCCCAGCAAAGATCGTGTTATCGTCGTTTTTACCAGAAAATCTCATCAGCAAAACTTTACTTTTTTTTCTTTTAGGGCAACAGCTGCCCTGCGGAAGTACACCTATTCAACAGTCACGTGTCATCGGAGGCCAGGATGCCAAGCCAGGAGCTTGGCCGTGGCAGGTGCTAAGCCCTTTCTTTTTTTTAGTTTATTCACTGCAAATTGACTGTATTATTCCCTTTGGCATAACAGACATAACATGAAGTTATCCTAATTTTTATTCTCTGAACCAGCAGGATTCAAATATTTTCTTTTACGCTTGCTTTTGGCTCCATAGATCCAACTCCAACGGTCTGGGCGCTTTATTTGCGGGGGTTCGCTGATATCTTCCACCTGGGTTGTGACTGCCGCACACTGTGTAGCGGGAAGTTCGTAAGTATTTAATTAACTTACTTATGCATTGTACTCACTATCGGTTCTTCCCATTGTCTTAAATCCTACAGATAATTTTGGAAATCATTACAACGTACAGTTAGTCTGTTATCTGCTAGATAACTGATGGATCTGTACGTAGGTCGCGCGCGTAATGCGTTATTTCCAAGAACAATGTCAAACTATGTTCCTTGCAAAGGATATTGTTGACAGGAGATTTGAAATCAGTTAATCAGTGAAGTTAATCACTTTTAATTTTGAAAAACATTTTTTCTGGGTAAAAAAAAAGAAAAAAAGAAAACAATACAGAATCATACAAACACATGAAGGCTGGTTACGTCAAGCACTTGCCTACCTGGCCATATCTACCAAAGTCTCTACCAACCTATATGAACCCTGTCGGCTGAACATCATATGAGAGGCCAAAACCTAATATGCACGTCCTTTCCCCCCAATTTTTTTTGATCAATCAGTTTTAATTTATTTTCCTTCTTAATCAGTTTTTCACTTGCTTTAACTTTCTTGCTCGCTTGTTCGCTTTCTTAACTTAGCAACACTTAACTATTGTCCTCTACTTTAGAAACCCTTCCAGTTATAAAGTCGTCGTGGGAGATCACAATCGCAACGCAAATGAAGGAACAGAGCAAACAATTGGCGTTAGGAAGGTCATGTCTCATCCCGATTACAATAAACCGCGACTAAGCAGTGACATTGCCTTGCTTCAGCTTTCCAGCCCAGCCAAGCTGTCCGAGCGGGTGAATCCCGTATGTTTGCCTTCACACGATTCCGATGTTCCAACAGGGTCAACATGCTACATAACAGGTTATGTATTGATCACATCCACGCTTTAAATTGAACCTCAGTCTACTGCTGATAGAAGCACCCCGTGAACAGAGCCCGTTCAGTCTTCTTGAGTGAGGAGTAGAACAGGAGGCTCTACCTGAATCACGTGAAACCTTTGAGGTCGCCGCAGCACAGTTTTCGGGACTAGCCAATCCGTGTTCTCTCCCACCGAACTGGCTTTTGCTAGTGCGATCATCCTTTTATGATAAACCGATGGTCTTAACCGAGCTGGCTGTGGCGAGCACATGGCTATTAGGCCTGGGTTCGAAACTATATCCTAGCAACATGCTGCGCATGCTCAGAAAAGATCTTACTCCATTCATGCAGAGTATTTCTCGAGTAGCCCAAAATCAAGCAAGAGAAAGAGAGGCTCCGCTGGCAGCCGGGTGTATAAGAAGTGTCTCGGGGCTTGTAATGAAGGGAATCGGATCCCAGAATCCGGGAAACATTTGCTTGTGGAATCCGGAATCCTAGGCTTTGGTATCCGGAATACACCTCAAGGAATTCGGAATGCCACTAACGATTGAAATCCAGAATCCAAGTTCCAATGACAGAGACCTGAATCCAGTACCTGGCATCAGGAATCCACGGCGTGGAATCTAGAATCCAACGACTGTCTTGGATTTGCTTACATAAGGCGAAGTGCCCTGAAAGAAAATTTAACTGTATCAGTAATTTCAGGCTTTAGTATTTGCCTAACCGCTTTTTAGAAATCATCACTGAATTAGTGCTACCACCTTGAAAATAACCATTATGTTTTCTCTATTGCTACTCTTTGCTTTAACTGAGAAACTTTTATTTTTGTAGTTATCCTAATGGTGGCTTGCTAAAATTTAAAA